ATATTACTCTTTATATGATAAAATAAAAACATGGTGCTGTTTATATGTGGATGAACTTTCAAATAAAGCATTTGGGAACTTTTACTACATACATTTCAAAAAGCTTAATAAGTACCCGCAAGGCCACGTTAACTTCATGATATAATTTGCCTCTGTCATAATGCGATTTGTTTCCGTGAACGGCCGACACCCTTTTTGTGTGAAGAGGCAAATGCTGCGGCCGGCAAGCATTGTGGGGCAGCCTTTTCTCCTCTCCTTTCGTAAGGAAGGTCCAGTGGTTCCTTAAGCTAAAGAGGCTAGAAAGAAATTTGAACCTTCCTTCCTTTTAATTTGAACAGAATTCAAACGGCACTTATCATGGCTGCCACCTGACGTACCTTCAGGGTAATTTCCACTCGATTAGGAAGGTTCCTAAGCTAAATGGACTATTCGACCGCAACCCAGATTAGGTGAGGTCGCTCCCGTAGCCCAAGGGCCGTTAGGGCACTCTGATGACATAACAACCTGTCTTAAAACATCCCAATCTGCCATCAATGTCATGCACTCCACCTCTCCTTTCCATGTCCTCTATCCAGGGGTTCCCAAACTTTGCCATGCCAAGGACCCCCATATAGCATTATCCTCTGGTGGGGACCCCCCTGTTGCAATTTTTTTTTTAAATGATGTGTACAAGTGCCTCCCGATGGAACATGCAGTGCGTTGCCACTACATTTGGGGCCTTCTGCCTGATCGAAGCTGTCACTCCGCTTTTTTTGCCTGTCATAGCCCCACTGCTCCATCTGAACACACACCCACACAACGAGACCAGTCAAGTCCGTTTGAGATGATGTACTCATCTAAAACTTGGAAAATGTCTCTTCATGTGTCTCTTCCCTTCCAGTGCTTTGCAACATAATATTTCCTCAACAAAGTTTTCTACTGAAATAAATATGATGTATGCAAGCAATTCTGCGACATTTGTTACATCCGTGCTCTCATCCAGCTGCAGAGCGAAACATTCATTAGCTCTCACTTGCTCCAAAAGCTGAGCAGATTTTCACTCTCAGTAGCGGCAGCTCGATTCTGATTGGCTTGAAGGGTGGTCGTGTGATTCAAAAACAAAAAATATGAAAAGATTGGCATCAAAGGACACATAGATTGATAGATATGCAGTTATTAATAACATTAAAAAAAATCCTGTTTCCCTCAAACCTTGAGTAACCCCCCTGGCGGCCCCCCAGGGGGTCGGGGCCCCCACTTTGAAAAACACTGGACTAGAGTGCTGACGGAGAGCACCGGAACGCCGCTCCAGCTCTTCAACTATTGCAGTACCCATAAGGAGCCGTACACATGCCGCAGTTTTTGCGTGGCTGTGTCTTTAGTTGTAAGCACAGTGGCGATCTGTTGCTATTAGCATCTGGTTAGCTAGCTATGCTAACGAATTTAAAGAGCTTTTCTACAACCAGGTGGAATAACCTCAGCTCAGTGAGGTTAAGGCACACCTTGATATGATCATTATAGTTATTAATGAGACATTAGAGACTAAATGAAAAACAGGTATAAAATACTATATGACAGTAACAAAAAAGTTGTTAAAAATAACAAGAATAGAGTTTAAAAGTGATTTGTAAAATATCCAAAAAGAAAAATCTGCTTACAGTTCTGTTTCATATGGGTGTTGAAAGATGTATCCATAGATCTCCTAATGTTGCTCTCAAAGTGCACCAGATTGATGCTTTTAACTTCAATATTTAAAAAAAAAAGTATTCCCGGGGGAGCTTGCCCCCGGACCCCCCTAGAGGAGGTTAGGTCCCCCCCTCACTTAAATCATGTTCACATGGATAGGATACTAAATACATTTGCACACATCTTGTGTCCATACCTTTCTGTTTTGGTGGTCATGCCACAACCGTGCACGTGCATGCATGCGCGAGTCATGGCAAGATATCTGGATTAAGGGGTTGCTTTTTCTTTGCACAGCATGAAAGAAAGGCCAAATGAATTGGCTGTGATTTTAGTTTTTTTAAGCAGAGGTTGAGGTCAATCATTTTTACGGCCCTCGGAGGATGTTGTAAAAATTGAAAGGAAAAAGGTTCCCCACCCCTGCTGTAAATAATAATAAAAACCCTTGATTTATAACTTAACATCTCTGTCTCCTATTGACCTGAGTATATTATAAAGAATAGCCAGTTAATTGAAGCATTATAGCACAGGCCTTTGTCAGATGGTATATTACGCTGTTTTTTTTCTGCTTCGAATAGTTCTCTCTTTTTTCACCATACCTGTGTTTGCATCAGTGGATTGGTCATAAGGGGCACCTAGCAGTGACTGCAACTACCCAATTAAGTGAATGCAAAGAGGAATTATAGCTTACACATTGCCTTTTTGTTAAATTGAAATGTTTTTTCTGCTTACTTACAGGTAAAGCTG